GTCTTATCGCCAAACCCATATATATATATATATATATATATATATATATATATATATAATATATATATATATATATATATATATATATATATATATATATATATATATATATATATATATATATATATATGTATATATATATATATATATATATATATATATATATATATATATATATATATATATATATTATATATATATATATATATATATATATATATATATATATATATATATATATATATATATATATATATATATATATATATATATATATATATAAATATATATATATATATATATATATATATATATATATATATATATATATATATATTACAAGTATATGATAACAAAATTAAAAAAAATTTACCCTCTAAATGTGTTTTGTATAATGAAATAACACTGAGTTTAAAAAATTATATTTAAAACAATTATTATTTTAGAATTTTTTTGTTTAATTTTTGCTTTTTTTAAATGCTAGGTTGATCTACTTTTAAAAGACTTTTTTTTTCCAAAATATTAGGGACTTGTTAAATAATAATGGGTCTACGAGTTTAAGCTCTAAAAAAATTTTTATTTAAAAATTATATATATATATATATATATATATATATATATATATATATATATATATATATATATATATATATATATATATATATATATATATATAATAATAATAATAACAACAATACAATTAAAAAAAAGATTCCCATATAAAAAAACACTGAATATAAGCTGTAAGCAGAAAAAAAGTGTTTATTTAAATAGGATATTTTATTCGAGCCATATAGAAAATGATTATTGTTTATATAAACACTGATAATTATCTATAAGGTATTATGGAATAATTTTTTATATGGTAAACAATAATTGTTTTCTATATGGTTTTAGGATAATTTATCTATACAGTATCAACATTTATTCAAGGTTAATAAATTAACCTTGAACTGACGTTGATTTACAAAGGTTGATTCAAGCGTTGGTTTGGAAACAAGAAATTGAGGTTGAAGTATCAACATCAATTCAACATCAAAAAACAGCGTTGAACTGATATTTAGTTTTCGAAAGATAACACTCAAAAAAATTAGCTAAAATATATTTTAAATTTTTATTACCGAATGTGATAAAACAAAAATCTTTAATTAAAGATGACTAGGATTTCCTCAGGAAAATTACAAGAGAGTATGAATCAGATTGTCGTATAATAACATGCGACATTTTTAACCTTTACACAAGCATTTCACAATTTCTTGGTTTAGAACCCCAAAAGTTCTGGATATTTAAATATAAAGAAACGATAGATAAAAGATTTACACCTAAATTCATAAGTAAGTCAGCATATTTTATTTTAAACAACAATAATTTCATATTCGATAAACAATTATTTCACCAAACAACTGGTACAGCAATGGGTACAGATTTCAAGTTTCTAGAAAAGACTGAGCTTTTTCCAATTGTCCTACCTCAGCATTTGTCTAGTAGATATTATAAATAAATTTTATTTATATCATTACAAAAAATATTATAAAGAAACACTGATGGCTACTTAAACTATAACAGTTATCTAAGATTTTACATCAAGAAGAATACTCCTTATAATTTAGCAGAAATAGTATTCGCTTTTACATCAACTTACTGAATTGAAATAAATACCACCTCACTAAGACGTTAAAACGATATCGTTCGCCATGTTACCCCGATTTCCCCTATATATATATATATATATATATATATATATATATATATATATATATATATATATATATATATATATATATATATATATATATATATATATATATATATATATATATGTATATATATATATATATATATATATATATATATTTTATATATATATATATATATATATATATATATATATATATATATATATATATGTATATATATATATATATATATATATATATATATATATATATATATATATATATATATATATATATATATATATATATATATATATATATATATATATATATATATATATATATATATATATATTTATAGCGGGGCAACATAGCGAATGGGGTAAGATGAAAGCGGGGCAACATAGCAAATAGGGTAAGATGGGTTTTCATATAACAACTCAACATAAAATCTTAATATTGGATCAAAATGAAACTGTATTTACATCTTGTATTTTAAAACGCAAATTGGTTTTTTTAAAAATTATTAACGCAATTTTATACGCTAAAGTTTATTTGTTGCGCTTAAAAAAAAATTCCTAACTTTCGGTTTCTCATAATGGATTGTGTCCTTCAAGTTTAACTTCTTTAGAAGTAACTTTTTGCGAATTGTGTTTATTTTGTGTTACTTTAGTTAGAGTTATTTGTAATTTTTAAAATTTTATCAAATTTGAGGTAAAAATTGCATAATAAGTCATCTTCCTCCGGTCACGTGACCAGATGACAAGTTTATGAACTTTTTATTTTAATACTTATTTCAAATTATTATATTTGCAAACTGAAAATTCATGCAGGCAATGAATCATTTTAATAACATAAACATACTGAGAAAGTCATAGTGCTTCACGGCTAATAGTTTTGCAATAACCCAGGGCTTTCGAAACGTTCGCTATGTTGCCCCGATTTTCCCAATATATATGTATATATACATATATATATATATATATATATGTATATATACGTATATATATATGTATATATATATATATATATATATATATATATATATATATATATATATATATATATATATATATATATATATATATATATATATATATATATATATATATATATATATATATATATATATATATATATATATATATACATTTACACTTTTTGATTATTTGTAAAAAAATCCTTATCTGCGTTAGTTTAGTTTAATTTTGTTAAAAAGGAGAATAGTATATCATTTTTGTGTCAGGCATAGTTATGTAAATATAATAATGATTTTGTGCATTCACCAATCCTTAGTTTTAATAATAGCAATGATTTTTGCTTTCGAAAATTCCCTTTAATCCAGTTGATATTTCGTTTATATTGAGAAATATTTAATTAGAGTAAGAAACTAAAAAACTTTTGTATTGAATAAATAAAGATTATTTTAACAAAAGGTTAGTTTTTTCAAAAATGCATAAAATTTTGAGAAATTTTTTTATTGTATTGCATGATTTTTTTAAACAAAATGATGTACTTTTTATTTAAAAAGTATAAGCTAAAGTCGTCACTTATAAGCAACTGAGTAGCAACATCTGTGGTCTTTGTAATGCATTATATAATTTTTTATTGTCTGTTTTACTGTAAGTCGTTAACTAAACCAAATCTTTTTTTATTATTTTTACATTATTCATGTTTTTATAAGCTAAAACTCTTTACATAGTTTGACTTAAGCAATGAAGCAATAATTTTGTTAACCCAAAACTGTTTTAATGTGTTTCTATAGCGTTCCGAATGTTTACCTAATAAGAAAACCGGCTTGGTGAACAAAATTTTATTTTAAAATTTGAAAAAAAAAAAGGAAAACTAAAGTATGTTGTCTACAAGTAAACTACAATGTTTATTTTTTCTTATACTTATTTTGATTTTAATCTGAATCTTTACCTTTCTTTAATTTATTTTTAAATACAAAATCTTAATAAATAAAAGTTTGAAAAAAAAGTTATACAGGAGAAGTGAGGGCATAACCGCCCGCAACGTTTTAACTGATGTTAAATAAAAATAGAAACAAAATATATTTTTTAAAAGTTTCCTGAAATAACCACATAATTATGCTTTAAACTGATGCAATTAAGAGAAAAATTATACGGGTTTTGAAAATGTTATTACTCAAAAAATAGACTTAGTGAAAAAAACGGTTTTTCCCCCATTGTCAGGCACAATCGCACTCTCACAAAAATTGTCGAAAGACACTTTTCTCGCTACATTTTCTATACAATTGTCACAACTCAGATTATTTGCTGATTTTGTTGCACGTTTGCATACTGCGTTGGCATTCTTTGTTTTTACAGTTTTCTCATTCGATATACTCTTAGCTTTATATTTTATTCAAAAACTCATTTATAAAAATTATATAAAAAAATGCGAAATCTAATTTCCAACATCTCAAAACAAAACTATTTCTATTCAAGTTTTTACATGAAGACATTTAAGTGTGACGATTGTAATTAGTGTTATTCGTAATTACCTAACTTTGATAAACATCAAAAGTATGCGGTTGTGCCTCCTGTGCGTCCATGCGGTTCTGCTCCAGATGACAGTTTTTAGATATAAGGTAGTTTCATAGCTTGCTTATTAAGTTGTGTTGATACCAAAAAATTGCTTTTTAAGTTATGTTGATATAATAAATAATGCTGATAACACATATCTTTAACACTAAAATCGAATATTGCTCAATCCTCAAAAAAAAGGTCTAGAAAAATATGATGTAAGTATAATATTTTTATCAAAATAAACATTTTTATGTACAACTTCTCAGAAACGTAACAGGAACTCTTTTTGACATGGGCAAAATGAAGGAAACTGTTTTACTAACGCTTGATATGTTTTTTGCCATACAAGATAACATTTTTCAAAGGAAAATGTTGAAAAACGGTTGTGCCTTTATATGTAGTTATGCCCCCATATTCTCTTTATATAAAAAATATTTTTACTTTTTCATTTATTTATGTACTATATGCATATATTACATTGTGGTAACAGTATTATATATATATATATATATATATATATATATATATATATATATATATATATATATATATATATATATATATATATATATATTATATATATATATATATATATATATATATATATATTTATATATATATATATATATATATATATATATATATATATATATATATATATATATATATATATATATATATATATATATATATATATATATATATATATATATATATATATATATATATATATATATATATATATATATATATATATATATATATATATAATTAAAATTTTTACATCAAGGTATTCATATTAACAGCATTAACAAATTTCATATTAAGATACCGTAGACTAAAAACAATTAAAAAAAATACCCGATAAGCTTAAAAAAAACTAAAAAAACCATTTTCAGCGTATTCTTTAACGTTTCAAACCATGTGTTCATCAGTATATATTTTCAACTCTCGTATAGCAATCCACTCTGAATTTGAGCTATATATTTTTACTCGTAGACATGCAGTTCTTTGATCGGAAAATATATTAATATCTACTTCGCTATTTCGAAAATCTGAAACAAACTCAAAAAAATTACATTCAATATTGTTGCTTCGTTCTAAAACTGCGTTCGTCAAACAGTCATTCATCATTTTAGTTAAACAAGTTTTAATTTTTATTTGTCTAACGACAGTAATATAGCTAAACTTTATTGTTAAATAGCTATCTTTCAAGTTAGAATATGTCCAAAACACATCACCTCTGTAATATAGATTATTAAAGCTATGATTACGATAAGCATTCATATTGGTGGTTAAAATAGCTTCAGGATTCTGGTGGTAAGACATTCTATGATGTACACTTTGAAAAAATAGGACATCTGGAGAACGCATTTTTTGCAGCGATAACGTAATGTATTTAAATTTGTTCATAATTTCTTTAATTGATGTATAAGCACTTGTCCAGTAAATAAAATTTGCATACTTCTCTAAGTATTTACAATTGTACAGCCTCCCATGCACAGGATCGTTTGATAATCCTATTTCTATTAGCTTAGGATTTTCTGAGAATACACGGAAAAGCTTTTTAATATTTTTCATTGCATAATTTATAGGAAAGACTGTTTCATCTGTAAAAATCATATAATCACTTTGTTGCGAGCAATGCCAAAACAGCAACGATACTAAAATATTAAAATGCGTTCTTTTTTCAACAAAACTTTTATGATGCAAATGAAAACCCAAATTAACTGTTTGTAACATAACATGATTTTTTACGAAATCTTCTGAAACAGTTATCAAGTTTATCGGAACTGCTTTTAATTTATTTTCTTGTTCAAAGAAGTCTCTTATTTCCTTTAAATCTTTTTCTTGATATGTTAATACTGCAATATGAATAACATAGGATGATATGAGCTGATCTTCGTTCATTTGGGTTACTAAATTTACCAGTTGTTTTATTGCAAATCGAATACTGCTATCATCGGCATCACTTATAATTCCAATAGATATTGTCGCTAATTAAAAATAAAACAAGGAATACATGTTTTTTATTTTTTTAAACATATATAAGAAACAAACAAATGGGCTAGTAATAGAGAGATTCTTATTTTTAGGGTTCTCTTTTACAATTCTAGCACTAAAAACTTCTTAAAAAATCCTTAAATTTTATAGTATGATATACATTGTTTATAGGCAATCGAATGAAATTCTATCACATTACACTTGCAATAGAATGGGAAATGATAAATCCAAAATAAATACTTACTTTGGCTGTTTTTCATGTAGATAATGCTTTTTAACTTCGTTTTATGTTGATGCGATATATAAGTGAAAAACTAGGAAATATTTCTTGAACACTTATAAATTAAGTCTCGTATTATAATATAAGTTTCTTATTGAAAAGTAGCTTAGTATTAGAAGTTTAAATGTTTTCAGCCTTTAGTATTTGTAATAGCTTTTATATATAGTATTATATATATATATATATATATATATATATATATATATATATATATATATATATATATATATATATATATATATATATATATATATATATATCAGGGACTACTAAAATAACGGGACGCGAAACTTCAAATCGATGCTAAAACGACGACAGGGCCGATTGTAAATGGCGATGCTAGTTTGATTTAGCAAAGAAGTTATGAAAAACTTACATTAATCTAATTATATTCACATTTTAGAATACATTAAAGTGATACAAATTTATATTACTAATATAATGTATATATTTTTGATCAGTATCGTACTGATAAAATATAGGTTAATGCAATAGAAATATTGGGAGATATTTACAACATTTAAAAAAAAAAAAAGCCTTTTTTTTTTTGAAAAAAGTTGCTATTTTTATTGAAAAATCAAAAGTTTTTTATTTTTTGAAAGTAGTAAGATTAAAAAATTGTATTAAGTAGTTTTTAATTTGAGTAATTTATTTTAAGTAATGAATCTATTAAGTGTTACAAAATGTTATGTCATATTTAATAAATAATAATGGTGTTACTATTATTAGTTATAATCATGCCAAGAAAATGTTCAATAGTTAATTGTACCACAAATTATTTAACATCAACTTCTGAAGAAAAGCTTCATGTTTACATGTTTCCAAGTGACACACAAAAGTTACAATATTGGTTGTCATCTATTCCAAATGCATTTAAAAAGTAACTTCAAATATGGGTGTGTGTGAAAAACACTGGCTACCAGGCTGCAAAATGTACAAGCCTCCTCGATCAAAGTTTGAGGTAAGCATCCTTAAAGTTGTTTTTATTGATAAGTTTTACTATGACTAATTTTAATAATATCTTTTTTAGGTTCCTGTTGATCCCCCATCTATTTTTCATGGATGCACATCTTCAATGGTGCGCCAAACAGTCTCAACACAACCAAGATCTACAAATATAAATAAAATTTCTTTAACATCACGAAATGCAATACCTGATGAATTGGATGATTTCAATCAAATTGATTTAATTAGATTTTATGATGTTGAAATAATGTTGTCTGAATTAAAAGAACGGTAAAATTAATTTTTTCTCCTCGTTTTATGATATTTGTTTGTTTTGATTTAAAGTTTACTTGTTATTAAATCTATTTTATATATCCTCAATACTTTGCATTCATTGAAAATTCAAAAGTCATATTGTTTGATGTTTCTCGATCATGTCTACCTAAAACAATATTTTCTGTTGAAATTAACTGTCATTCACGTCAAGTTAATATTTATTGTAGGCATACAAAAGTTAACTGCAATGCCCTGCTCAGTTTTTTTTCATTGTCTTACTCGGTGATCACAGCTTGAAGCTATTGTCAAAAGAGTTTGTACCTCTAGTCCTGAAATAAAAGATGAGGTATTAAGTTTGATTAGTCAAATTGAAAATACATACAGTGATACTTCTGAAGAAATTTCTTAATTAGGAAGAGTTGGAGTTGGAAATGAAAAAGAGTGCAATAATACAATCAAAGTTGTTTTTGAAAATTTTAATAGTTCTGAAAAGCGTTGCTGCCTTCTCTTTGATGAGATGTATATTAAACCAAGTATTAGTTTCAGAGGAGGATACCTCATTGGATATAGTGAGGACAATCCCACTAAAATTGCAAAAACGTTATTAGTCTTTATGATTAAACCTATGTTTGGTAAACCTTCTTTTGTTTGTAGAATTGTACCAATATTTAAACTGTCAGTGCACTTTCTTCACAATTTGATTATAAATATAAATAAACAAATAATTGATGCAGGAGGAGAATTACTGTGTCTTTTATCAGATAACCATCCCACAAATTGAAGTGTTTACCAAAATTTTGTTGTTAATAAAAGTTTTCCATGGCAAGGTGATATAGAAAAAGAAAAACCAGTTATTATGCTACACGATCCAGTTCACTTGTTTAAAAGTATAAGAAATAATTGGTTTAAGAAAAAAAACACAAACAATTAGTTTAAAAATTAATAATCAACCTCTCTCTGGTGATTGGTCTCACATTGTTCAATTATATAACAGACAGAAAACTTGTGTTGCCAAAACTACAAAGCTTTCACGCAAGTCAGTGTACCCTAGTTTGATTGATAGACAAAATGTTGCAAACATGGTTGCTGTATTTAATGAAAAAACTGTTGCAGCATTGAGATTAGCTAATTTTGAGAACACTGCCTGTTTTTTAGCACCAATTGTATCATTATGGAACATGCTAAATGTAAAGAGGAAAGGTTGTGATGTTTTACTTAATGATATCAATAGGTCTCCTTTCCAGACACTCGATGACCTTAGATTTAAAGAAATTTTAGCATTTGCTGATGCAACTTCTAAGATGTCAGAGGGAAAGGGATTAAATCGTCATAATACTTTTACACCAGAAACAAAGCATGCTTTAGTTAACACCCTACAAGGATTAGTAGAATTAATAAAAAAAACTGCTTTCAGAAGATCACCAATATGTTCTTCCCGGTATTTTTCAAACAGATTGTCTTGAAGGTGAATTTGGCATCTACAGGTAAAATTATTTTTTGTGTTACTTATAGTAAAGAAAATTTTGTAGATTTGAAATCTAAAAAACAAATATTTCTCTTATTTATTTATATGTATTATTTTTTAACATACATAAGTTTATTGATGCGTTTTATTTGACAATTGCTGTTTTAACTATAATTTAATACTCTGTTCAACTCAATTTATTTGGTTATATCTTTTTGCAATTTTTTTGCTTATTTGTAGACAGCTAAAAGGCGGAAATTGTTTTATCTCAGCAGAACAAGGATTTAACAGTTATATTACTTCAGCGGTTAAAATTATTTAGCAAAATAGTTTCTTTGGATGAAACTGACATTCATTGCTCACGCATACATTCAGAGTGTTGCACAATGGATCTAATGGAAGAGGATATTATTTATTTAGATGAATGTTTAATTAATGCAGACAATGAATCTATTAATGATCAGGAGAATGCTGTCCTTTTTTATATGGCTGGTTATGTACAGCACAATATCGATCCGCAGAGTATAGTTGATACAACAACATCACAATCAGCTAGTTCTGAATTTACAGATTATGTTTCACGTGGTAAATTGCGTTATCCTGGTGATACTCTTCTCCAGTTTATTTGTGTTTGTTATCTACTGTTTAACAGCGTTCCAATGTCTGAAAAACGTTTTCAATGTGTTGTTTATTTAAAGAAATTATTTTTATTCTTGCATTCAACATTACCATTTGATTTAGAAACAGACAGTATAGGTATTTCAAAAGTTATCTCAATAATAACTAACTGTTTCTTAAAAGGTGTTACGACCCTTGATAATACATCTGATATTGTTTCATTAAACATTGAGGACAGAAAAAGAAACTCAATACTTAGTGGTCTAATTATTTAGTTGACGTTGGTGATATAATTAATAACGTTTTGAAATGTATTTATGGCTTTATATTTATATGGTTTAAAATTTGTTTATAATTATATATTTATTATTATGATATTTATATAATATAGTATGATAAGTAGTGATTAATTAGTTTATTAACATTGTCTTTAAAAATAATTATTTACTGCTAATTTACGGATAATTTACAGTTTCTTTGTAAAAAGTTGTTTTATTTTTAATACTTAATCAACACAATTTAATTTTTGTTTGAAAATAGTGATAAAGAATTGAGCCATAACATTTTTTTATTAAATTTCTATTCATAATTATATTTTTGTTTAATAATAGAAGTGTTTCGCTTTTTTTTTCATCGGCCCTGTCGTCAAAACTACATGAAATTAGAGTTTCGCGTCCCGTTGTTTTAGTAGTCCCTGATATATATATATATATATATATATATATATATATATATATATATATATATATTATATATATATATATATATATATATATATATATATATATATATATATATATATATATTTATATATATATATATATATATATATATATATATATATATATATATATATATATATATATATATATATATATATATATATATATATATATATATATATATATTATAAAGTCATAACTTTTAAACGCAAAGAGAATTTTGCATGAAATTTAAAATTTATTGATGAATATAAATTTATCAAAGATTAGTACATAAAATTAACTTGTTGCTCTCATGTGTAGGGAAGATGTAGTCGAAACTTTAGGGCATTTTGTTCCCATGCTCCAATCATTGCAATATTTTGCAATGATTGGAGCCTTTTACATGTTTATACTTATGAGAAGCATAAGTATAAACATGTAAAAGGCTCCAATAATAAATATTTACATGTTTATACTTATATGAATTCCTTAATATGTAAATGTTTAAAGTTAATTATAAAAATAAGTATAAAATTATAAATGTTATTATTATTAATAGAAAACAAAAAAATGAAAAATTATTTACGTAACACATTTTTTGATATAGTTTTGTAAAAACTATTTGTAAATATAGTTTTGCTCATTGGATCATTAGTTCTTTCGATCTTATTTAGTGGATCATTAGTGGCAGTAGCCAAAAATGGCTAGCCAATGACTATCCACTATAAACATGTTGGAAAGGTAGGCTCTCTTGTCAAACCCTTATTCCGACGCTGTCCTTAGGGTCCGAAAGTGTAAAAAAATGACTTATTCATTTAAAAGAGAACCTGCCTACCCCAAACCCTCAATCGTTGCTTGCACACTCCGCTGCATGCTCTCTAAAAATCAGTTGGTATATGTGCGCCTTGCTGTGCAAATCCCTATATACCCCATTATGCCTATTTCCTAGAAATACGAGTTCGCGGACGCAAAGGACCACCACTAATGGTTTACTAAGTAACCGATGAGTAAAGCTTTAACGAACCGCTTGAAATGCCAATATAGGTCCACTGTAAATCCATTAAAACAATGTTTGCTGGGTATTAACTTTACAATAACCTTAACAAAACCATTAAGACATAAGTAAGCTTATATATTTAAAATCAAAATTTAATATAAGTTAATTCACAATTAAAGTACTTTTTTTTATATTCAATATTGACATTTTATTTTAGTCAAGACATTTGTTTACGATTTGAATTTAAACTGATAGAGTTTTTAAAATTATAAGTTAAATTACTGTTATATAAAAAAACTTGAAAAATGATTTAACTACAAAGACATTTCAATGAGATATGCAAAATGGAATGTATTTTAACGTGACCATGGCCTCGCGCTCGGTGGCTTTAATTGCTTTAAAATAGGTATACATTTAAACATTTATATTTTTCTTTTTTTCGCTAATAATAGGTCGGGTGAATAAAAACGAGCAATTGCTTTTACTTAGTAAATGGTCAGCTTTACGTGAATAAAAGCTAAACAAATTTTTTTTTAATTTTTATTTACGTAATGCTGAACAATTACTAAGTAAATTGCTTAACTTTACGTGAATAAAAAATTGAGCAAAACTCCTGATATTTTTATTCACGTAAAGCTGACCAATTACTGAGTAAAAGCAACTGCTCATTTATTATTCACCATTATTTATTAAATATTTACACTAAAAAATTTGTTCGAGTGATGATTATTACAATAAGAGTTTTGAAAAGAGCTCAGATGATATGTTTTACCTAAAAACAACAGTTTTTTAGTGCTTATACAGGTTGTTACAAGGCTTTATCCAGTGATGTAAAACCATATATTAAATTGTTCAAATTTTTGACTTTTTTTTTTTGCTTACTATTCAACCGGTTTAAGAATTATCAAACTTTAAATATCAGTCTTTTAGTAGTATATGATCCTTGTGGCAATCATTAGACTTAATTAAATTTTGAATAACTTTTAAAATCGATCTTTTAGTAGTGCTTCTTTCTTCTGTTCCATGCGACAGTCATAATTTAAGTCTTCAGTAAAATATTTGACTTTGTTCAATATTTTTTAAAGGTTGTTCACTTTATTGTCAGCTTCTATGAGCCAATGAAAAAGATAGCCTTTAGATCAAAATAAGTTGTGTCAAAGCCGTTTGAAGTTTTTCCAAAACGAAAATAATGTGATAAAATCTGTGATCATTATATGTTACCTGAAACATTTTGATCACAGGAATATAGGCTTTCAAGCATACATTCATAGCTTAGGAAATAGAGATGCCAGGAACAGTGATTTTGCCAAATACCGAATACTAAACGAACACTATCAAAGTATGCTAAGTTTTATCAAATATTCAGATGCCAAATATTTAGTGATTTAGCACATTTTGTGGGTGACTGGTTCTAATATGCAAAGTGAACTGCATATCTTAACAATGAGGTAGATATGTTTAATTTGCGTGTAGGTTGTGTTATTTGTTGATTGTTACTTATGTTGTGTATTTCTTACACGTCAATTTTTGTTAGTTGTTGCTTGCATTTCTTACATGCATTATGTAAAATATGCACGCTATAAGTAAACAAAATACATTACTTAGAGTGTGTAAATTTAACAAGAAAGTTTTTTAAAGTTGTCAAAAATGTATCAACAGTTTTCAAAACTCCCTGATTATTTTAAAGACAATGTCTACTCTATTCTACCGCACACACCTCCTAAAGAAAAATTACGTTTAACTTTTTTAAACAAACTGGATTAATATATTATTTCTACGCCACCCGTAATAAATATTCTCTATTGAAAACAGCTAGTAGCAACTTTTACTTGCAAAGTTCTATAGATTGCATTTAAGAGTTGTTACATACTTAACCAAAAGACCGCAAAGAATCGCTCACTTATTTCTTACCTCGTGTTGTTCTTCATTTTCACTTGATATATAATTGTTATGGCATATACACTGATGTTATACAGTAGACACAACTCAATTTTAATATAACAAAGTTTTGAAACAATTGCCAGAACAAGTAATAAGTTAGTAAACTGCGAGATTTTTTAATCTAAAAGTTACCTCTTTTATTGTAATTATTTAAAAATCTCAAAAAGACAGAAAATAAAGGTCTATTGCAAAAAAATGTCTATTGCAAAAAAAAAAAAAAGGTGTGTTTTTTGCACTAACCTGATTTGTTTAATTGCAGTGGAAATAACAACGACAAAGAATTATAGTTTTTTTTAGCTTTTCTTTGACTTGATGATTCCACAACGCAGTTGTTGCTTTTTAAATCTAACATAAAAGTTGTTGAAAAATTTATAATTTATGAATAATAATGTAGAAATGGTTTTTCTACTAATTTAAAGGATAAAAACTTTCTTACATAAATAAAAAAAATAAACAGCTAAAATCATTAAGACTGCTCCCTTTCTTTTAGACACTTTCATTTTAGAATTTATAATTAAGTTATTGTTCATCAAATATTAAGTTCAAAAATGCGTATGTAAATTACAATCTTATGTTAAATGTTATCAACGCGTTTCCAAGGTAGCATGTTATTGAAATAAATTTTTGATATATCGTCGTCTATGTTTGTTTTACATTTTCTATAAGTAAATATTTTTTTATATATATAATACCATGTATTTATTATACACATATATACATAAACATATTCTATGCATAAATTATTATACACATATATAACAAAACATATTCTATGCATAAATTATTATACACATATATACATAAACATATTCTATGCATAAATTATTATACACATATATACATAAACATATTCTATGCATAAATTATTATACACATATATACATAAACATATTCTATGCATAAATTAGAGTAAGACTGAGTGCGGGTTTAAAAGAAATAAAACATTTCTGAAAACCCAGTTACTCACCATCAACCCTTTAAAATATATATTAGATTCAGTTAAAAAAAAGTTAAAATATCAACTAAATCGAAAATATATTTTTTGAAATATTTTTTTGATGCATCACAAAGTAATAAAAAAATTTTAAAATTCAATTTAAATGAAAGATCAAAGTACAAAATTAACTAAAATAAATTTTATACGAATTATTTAAAGTTTAATAATAAATTCAGGAAATAAAATATATTACCAACTTTATTAACAAAGCCATAGTAGGGGAGACCGGGACAAGATAACAATTTAACAAGATAACAAATTTTGTTGCTTATTAATTTATTTTAAGAATAACAAAATTAATTTGTAGTTCTTTGTGATATTAAATATATTAACATTTACTTATTCAAATAATTTTTTTTTTTTTTTTTTCACAAACTTAACATATTGTCATCTTGCCCTAGTATTGAGGCAAGATCACTTTAACCTTGGCGCAAGATGACAACACAAAAAATTGTTAATCATATTTTAACTGTTGAATATGTTGCATGGTTTAACAAATGATAACTGAGTTTTTACATCTTATAAACTAACAAACTAAGCGTCATGCAACGTAATATTGAAATTTTTAGTTGTACCACTAACAATAGTCACAAATAAAAATACTGTTTTCGTAATTGGAACATCCCTTATGCCATCACTGTTGGCATTTACAGGACTGAATCCATTCTTCTGTTGGAAGGTCACAATATTCTTCTCACATGCAGGGTATCTTATAACATAATCTTTTGAAATTTATGCAATTAGAATGTTTGTTCTAGATTTTAAAGACGTAGGCATATAGGAATTTAGCTTGAGTTTATGTACATTATTTTTAGCTTCATGAGCTTCTTTTCTCTTTATTTTTTTTAATTTACTTGTTTTTCTTTCTTTTTTTATTTTTAAAAGTTCTTTGTTTTTGTAAGAATGCTTGAGCTCATATTTTAGCTTTTTCGTTTTTTCTCACTTTCTTTTGCTTTAGGCAATGGTTTGAAATCAAAAACACTTTAGTGCATTTGAATTAGCATTTGCTATAAGTTTCTCTGGATGGTTTATATGATGGTTTTCTACTACTTGATTTTGAGGATTTGTATTATTGTTCTCATTTTGATTGCCAACAACATCAAGATGTTTTGCAGCAGCAAGGTCATTTTCACTAAACACAAGTGGATTATAAGGCTCGATCTCACATTCTTTAAACCCATTAACAGCATTTCCAACTGTAGCTGCTTTAAAGTAAGCAATGCTCAAAAGATAATCAATATTTTTGTCTGAGATTGGTCGTCCTGGATGAGTGATTATAAAGTTGTCACATGCTTGTCTGCGATTGGTCTATAATTGACTAAAAAATGACACATCAAGTTGCTGGAAACGATATGATGCGTGGGGCAGCAACCCAACCATGATGATGTTTTTCTTTCTGCAATATAATATAACCTCCGAAATTATGTGAATTTTGTGATGGTCAATAATCAATAGAGCATGAGTTCTTGGCTTAGTTTCACTTGTAAATAAAAGTGCTTCAAAAAATATAAAAAGACTTCTTCGTTGTTCTAGTCGTTATTGCTAGAGTAGCTTACAGTTCCTGGTGGTGCTTTTTCTACAAGTTCAGAAAACATTCGAATTTTGGAAAAACTCAAAAAAGGTGGCAGCTAAAAGCCAGTAGAGCTCATGCAACAAGTTATAGTTACAGTTTTTACTCTCTCTCTGTGAAACAATTTTAGAAACTCTTCTAGTTCCTGTAGGACTGAAAACTATGGGTAGCTTATTAAGTACAGTAGACAGACCTGAGTCAATTGAATTGTAGATTGAAGAAGCTGGGAATTTAAATTTTTCCCATTGCTCCCTTATAATATTGTAAAACTTATCTGTACTTGGTTTATTGAAACCCATTGCTCATTGGAGCAATGTTTCTTTTACAAAGAAACATTACTCCAATTTATGTTTCTTTGTAAAATTAGCCAGCCAATCTTCTCATGCCATCTTTTTATCCTTGTTGAACAGATACAAAATACTATTTCCCTCAGCAATGCCAAAAATTAGTCTTCTACTCTGTTTCTTTGTGATTCCAAAAAACATTTTGTCCTCTGCTGTTATTGTAGGATTTTAAATCTTCTTACTGCGCAGCATTAAAGACTTCTTTAAATCTTCCTACATGAACCAGCATGTCCTGAAATAAAATTTATTATGTTTTTATTTTAAGTTAATTTTTTTTCCTTAATGTTACAAAATCGTAAATACATAATAAAGACTCGTTAACAGTGAATATATAAATAAAAAGAAGATATTGCAAAGTGGTTTTACAAAGTAATAAATTTACTGTAAAAAGTGTAACACTGAAAAAAGAACGCGGAAAACTTGCAGAAGACCAAATGGCCTTTTCATCAAGAACTAAGGACCGGCGAGTGTTCGTTAAAATTCGGATTACGAAGTTTACTGAAAGGCAAAGTTAACTTTGGCTTCCACTTCGGTGCCGAAGTTAAAATAGAGTTTAAATTTGGTATTCAGTTAAGTTCGGTAACAATTTCAAAATTTCATTTAACTTTCAGTTAAATTCGGAAGCTATAAATATTTTCAATTTATAAAGAAGAATTATAAAATACATTAGATTTTTTATGTATATCAACCTGTTTCTTTTAATTACAACCTTCTTTCAGAGTCGGGAGAGGATTGTGACTAATATAAGAAATAGCTTCCTCTACTAAAGTGGCCCACTCAGCCTTGGGAACATGGTTTTGGTAAAAAAAAAAAGGCATCTTAGAAATATATTTGACTTACAGAGCTAATATATGAAAAGTCTTTTTTAGGCACAAAGTCTATTCATCACTTATTAAATCTTATTTATCGCTTTTAAAAAATCCTGAAGGTAAAAACAGATGAATATTTAACCTAATATTCTTAACGATCTTTTTCCTTTAAAAAATTGACAATCAACACTTTTTAATAAACCTTGTAAATTTTTTTTTTTCGTTTAAAAACATTAAGAGTTGTAAAGAATCCTGAATTTTTAGATTTTTTATTTTGACGCTTTTTTGTGAGCGAATATTTTTTTAATAAATTAAAATTTACTTGGCTTCACTAGTTTTATGTCAAGTTTTAAATTGTAATTAATTACAAGGTAAAAAATAAAATTTTTAGTATATAAAAAATGATTATATAGCAACCGGGGCGCAGTGGCTAGAGCGCTTGCTTTAGAAGCAATAGTCCAAGGGTTTGAAGAAAGCTCTGGGCATATTTCGCACCATCAGTATAGAAAAAGGTTTAAACTTTCTAGTTTAATACTTTTCTGATGTACTCCGTGACAAAATCGTTAGGTCTTCTCGGAACATTTAAAGCAAAAAAAAAAAAATAAACTTCATAAAACTTATAGAAAGTTCTTAAAAAATTTCTTTTTTAGTTAAATGTGCTTTAAAATCCGAATTCGGCTTTCAGTTAAATTCTGTTTAGAAGTCCAAATTTGTCTTTCAGTTAAATTCAAGCTACATATACGGCTTAAAATCGTCTTTTAGTTAAATTCGCTAAAGTCGATATCGCCGGTGTAGGAGGTATGAAGTACTGAACCGGTACGAATCATTGTACAGTAATTCCTACCTGACGGTACCGATCACTTGACAAGTGATTCCTACCTAGGTGCTGAATACTGTACTTGGGTACCGAACACTTAACATTTTAATTTTGCCGTGTAAATGTTTTAAAAAGAGGTAAGAAGCATGGAAATTAATACAAAAAAACTTTGTTCACTATAGTAAACATACTACTATAGCAGTATAGTATTAGTTTAAACAAAATTTCAAAATCAAACGTTTAAAATTTAATAATTATCTTTTCATTTTTTGTATGTAGTAACTTTTTTAGATCAAATTAAGATTATTATTATTATTAATATTATTATTAGCAAGATTATTATATAGTAAATTATTATATAACAGCTGTTAACAAGACCAAAAGTAGGAAGACCAATACCACAAGTTACAAGACCAAAGCCAAAAGTTTCAAGGCCAAGATTTAGAGTTTCAAGGCAAAGACAGACGCAAAGATTTTTAAGACTTAAGACTTTTTTGCCTTACGTGAAGGCCAATACTGTAAATCGCAAGTGCTGTGAAAATAAAACCATATTTTGTAAAAATAGACCAAGTTTATTTTCAGTTTTCAACAAAATCAATATAAAATTCTGTTTTTTTTTTTTTAAGGCCTAAACAATCAAGGCCAAGGCTAAAATTTATAAGGCCAAGGCCAACAGTTTCAAGGATAAGGGCCTTGGTCTTGAAAATGGAAATTTTAAAGCCAGACCAAGACCAAGGACTAACAACTTTGTTATACAATAACCGCTTTGAAATAATTTAATAGATTATCAATTCAATTAAATAACTTATTTAACTAATATTTTTTACATGCATTTTATTAAAAATTTATGTTAATTATATTTTATGTTATAGGTGCTATGGGCATAGGATGAATGCACTAATAGCACATAATATTAGCCTATAGCACTGCTATAAACACTTTTTTTATTATTTTAGATATTTTAGTACAAAATGGAAGACAAAAATTCATCAGAGATAGACGACTCAATATTATCTAAAAAAATAATTAAAGAACCGAACTTTTATGATATTGAAAATTATTTAATATCAGGAATTTTTCCTGAAAATTTACAAGGAAGAAAAAACATAGGTATTAAACAAACTTTAAAAAACAAGGTGACAGGTTTGTAATTGTTAATGGTATGCTACATTACAAATATAGAAAAATCATGAAAGTTACTTCTGGTCCAGAGACATTTGATCTTTGACAACACATAATGTGTTGTCAAAGATCAAATGTCTCGTAATCAGTACAAAAAAGCTGCACACAACGGATTAGACACATCAACTGAATCAAAGGCTATTGGTAGACATGTTGTGAGAAATAAAACAATATGGATATTGATTGATTCAGGATGTTGGTGGCCGAATATGAATAAAGATGTCCGAAATTATGTTGCCACTTTTGAATCTTATCAAAAATCAAATTCAAAAATGAAAAAAGTTTCTCCAGAGTTGCATCCAACACCAGTTCCAACAAAAATATGGCATTAAGTTGGTGTTGACCTCTGTAGTCTTCCTAAAAATCCAGAAGGTTATGTTGGAATTTGTGTAGTTGTTGATAACTTTTCAAAATGGATTAAAGCAAAGCCTATTTATAATAAAAGTGCTGAAGAGGTATCCAGATTTCTATATGAACTTATATGTCGACATGGTTGTGCCTCAATTCAAATTAATGATCAAGGTCGGGAATTTTGTAACAAAGTTTCTGAAAATTTGCTAAGTTTTACTGGAACCTGTCAACTTATTACTTTGGCTTACCATCCTCAAGCTTATGGTCTGGTTGAAAAAGCTAATAGAATTATACAGTGTTCTATGCTTAAAGTGCTGAACGGAGAGCTAAAAATGGCCTCATTCACTAGATGGCATACTGTTTGCATTCGAACAACTCGCCACAAGTCAACTATTGTCACTCCCTTTCAAGTTATGTATACAAGAGAGCCAATTTTATCCTTACAATGCATAAATAATAATCAAAGCTTAATTCATGATGTATCTGTTGATTTAGACATAGAAGCAGGTGTTTATTTTAACAAACGAATGGAATAAATTTATTGAATTTTATTTTATACATTTAGTTGGTTTTTTTAGGGTATTTTGGAACAGGCTGATTGCTCGAAAACTTAAAAGGAACGAGCAGCCGTGGTGCAGTGGTTAGAGTTCTGGCTCAGAACCCAGAGGTCCGAGGTTCGATACCAGCTCCAGCCCAACAAGCAACATTGGTACGGAAGGAGGCGTGAACTTCCTGTTAAATGCTCTCCCGCGGCGTTCTGTGATAAGACCGTAAGGACTTCTGGGAGCACCTATATAACTACAAAAAAAAATTAAAAACATTCAAAGTAAAACTCACGATGAATTAGAAAAAGATATAAAGAAATCTCAATTGCGACAAAAGAAGGACTATGAGAAACGTCACAAAAACCAAATCCAATTCAATATAGGCGTTTTTTTTGTTTATAATCTTAGAAGAGCTGATAGAAAAGGTGATAAAGGAAAATCTGTTTGGGATGGACTGTACAAAATTATTAAAACCTTTATTGATAAAGGACTTTATCAGCTAAAACAAAAAAATGGCGAAACACTTTATACCAAGCATCAAGATTCAAACATGAAACTTTCAAAAAAAAGATCTGAAGACGAAATTCTTTAAAAATCGTTTAGTGAGGTGTATTAAATCTGAATCTTTAGAAATTGTTGAAGTTGTTATTAGCAAAATAAACTCTTTTATACCTACTAATAGTAAATGGAAAACAAAGAAATGCTCCCTGTTGAAGATTTCTTCAACTAATAAAGCACCATTTAAAAAAGGTTTTGCTGTACGAAAAAAAAAGTTACAGTTGCGAAAACCGATTAGTGTTCATAAAATTGAAGGTGATGGAAAATGCTTATTTTGAGCTTTAAGTCAGGAAGTTTGTCAAGAGTTTTATAAAATACCGCGTCAACTAGCAATTGAAATTCTTTTAAAAGTAGAAATGCTTTTGATGCTTATATATCAAAACCAGTTTTAAAATACAAAAATGATTCAAAAATGGAGACTGACCAAATATGGGTCACTGATGTTGAAATATATGCATTAGCAACTGCCTTGGATACACCAATTCCTGTTTACTATAAGCCTCCTGAGGCTTCTATATTTTCGTGGTTTTTTTACAAACCTTTTCTTCAAAATACAAATGGGTTTAAACTGATGGAAATATAAGAAAATGACCAAATAGTTTATCTGCAAAATACTGGTGTGCATTATGATAGAGTTTTAGCTGTCAGTTGATTTTTTTTTTACATTAAGTTGCGTTTATATTGACTTTTTAAAAAGTTTTATATATTTATATTTCTTATTGACTTTATTTAAGATTGTTTTTACTATTCTTGTAAATCCAAAATTTCATGCAATTTATCATTTTAAAACTAATTATGGACTTGTTTTATAACTCTCCCTTATTAAGTTTAGATTTAAGTTTTAGCATACAAGAAATTGAATTTACTGATATTATGCTACTTTAAAATACTATTGTAAATTTGTTCTTTTCTGTAAAAACTTTTAATGAAATCTTCCTAAATTTTAAGTAGTTTAGGTTTGCTTTTTAAACAACAAAATTAATTTGATTGAGGAATACAATTGAAGTTTCTTGTCTTGCAGATGGCCTCTTTTTTTTTTTAATTGCACCCTTTTTTTTTTAAATGTCAACACAAATTTTAAAATACAAATGAGTTAATTATAAAAAATCAAAAATTATAAAATTTTAGAAGACAGCCAACCTCAACTGAGATTTGTAGTCTTCTAAAATCAATGCTTTTTTTATCCTTGACATGTACAGTAGGGTGTGTCATACTTTTTTTTTTTGAATTTTGACTCGCATAATTTAAAAAAGGGTGAGGTATAATATTACAAGTTTAGAACCGTCAACAAAAAAAAAAAAAAAAAGTTTTAGCTACCAGGGAACCAGAGACACTATTTTACCAAAAACCCTGGGGGAGGGGGAGGTATGAACTTAAAAAATTGAAATAATTTTTAAAAAAAACTTACAAAACGCAAAAAAACGTCATCTCTATTTTAAAAAAAATAAAATTATTTGTATAAAAACAACTAGAGTGGTTTGCCCCCCTCCCACTACCTCCCATTAAAACTGTAAAATTAGGTTGTTTTGGAATTAAAAATAAAACATTCATATAGATCCACAAAACATCTACTGGCACATTAAAATAAAGTACAATAAAGATTAATTCTTAAACATTGTCAAGCCAATAAGGTTTTGTTTAGATAGATTTCGTGACATCAACTTCTGTGACAACTCTTGTCCTTTAATCCAACCATCTCTTCTATCTTCTGTAAAAAAATTTTCACAAGCCTGGGTAACTTTTTTTACACATCTTTTGACAGCTTGAGTGTGGCAACACCAGTTTGGTACAATCATTGGTTTAAAAAAATACTCTTTGATGTCTTTAGTTGTCATGCAACAAGTCAAAGGTGGTTCAAAAGCTTCATTCCAATCAATAAGGTCCTTGAGGCAAATTGCTTTAGTATTGATAACTGGTGTCCTTCTTGGTCTAACAGATAGATCTCCAAGTTGTACATTTTCATCACCTTCTCCTCTTATTTCAAGAATTTTGTTTACACTGAAATCTCTCTCCTCTTTATTTTCAGAACAAAGCATAGTTTGAAGAATAGATTTAGAGAAGGCATACCAAGCAGATCGCCTAATAGTTGGAATGACCATATTTTGAATATCGAGTGACTGGTGTTGAAGCAACTTAAGCTGGTAAAGAACATGTTTTGGTCCTTCTGTCCAACTATATTTAACTTTGATGTTAAACCAGACAGGAAAGTACACTCCTACAATAAACTCGACTAGTTTAAGAAGGTTTTGGGCTGCATCGCCTTGAAGACCATGATGAGATACCCAAATTCTACAATTTCCAGAAGTCCTAGTTGCTGAGGAACATGACCACTGCGTATAGCTTTAACTATTTGATAGCCATAATACTGATCTGTTGAAAGGTCTTTAACCACATCATTACTCAAGTTAATTAGAGGCTCACCAGTTTCCACTCTACTAAAAAAAGGGTTAATTTCAAGATTGGTTGCTTCATCAAGTAAGCTTCCAATGGGTCTACTCCATTTTGTACCGCTTTTAGATTCTCCGTCTAACAATTTAATTAAACGTTTGAGTGGTAATTCATTGGTATGTAGAGCGCAGACAATCCAATTTAACTTTCGCCCTAATTTCAGCTCCATAAAGTGCATTACTCCTCCATCCCAACCAGTGTTTACATTGGTAGAGTCTCCGCCAATTGCTTTTAAGTGTGTACTAATGTTTCTCATTGCAGTATACTCAATAATCTTATCTGCTATAATTTCAGCATGGTTCTTTTTTGCTTCTTTAGCTGGAGTGAAATGAAATAAATACTTACCATCACCAGAACAAACAGTGTAATGTTCTTCTTTTACTTTAGCCGGATACTGTCTGTCTGATCCATCTACAGTTAAAAATACTTTAGTAAGATCTTTTCGCCCATCAAAAAATATGCAGAATCATGAATGAAGTTGCTGTTCAATCATCAAACTGAACAGCAACTTCATTCATGACTTTATCCCTAGCTCTCCGAACTTTACTGTGATCTATTATTAATCTAGTGTCACTTTGGGATACAAGTCCTCCATCTACCCATGCTGCAGTAGCTATGGCTGCAGTTGCTCTTAAACCAACACCATATCGAATACTGGCCAATGCAATATTAGAGATATCTTCACAATTTCTAGATTTTTTTAAATATTTTGTACAAGGCTTTTGAAAAGAAAAAATCTCATTTTCATTAGATTTCTCTTCATAATTTTCATGTTTGTTATCTTGTTCATATTGCGTATTATTTTCTTTTTGATTAGTGTGTTTTTTTTCTCTCATTTGTTTTTCTTCTTCTCTTCTTCGTTTGCAACTTTGTACTTTTTTGAACTTTTTGGACTCCATCAAATCAGCAGGCCCAAGTTAATATAAACTTAAAGATCCAATCTTTTCTCGTTGGGCTAAAAAAAAGTGACAACAATTTGCTTACAACCAGACAAATCAAAATAAAAATTTTAAAATAATCAAAGAAACCAGTATAGTATAATAAAATTTGGTTTTCTGCTTTACTAACACTTTTATAGTGACTTTCATATATTCACTCATACCTTTTATATAAACCAGTTCATTTATTGGTATTTTTCTCTCCCTAGGACATATGCAGGTAATGTGGGCCAGAGTTGGCAAAAAAACCCCAACCCAAAAAAACCCAACCCAAAAAAACCCAAAAAAACCCACCTTAAAAAAACCCAATAAAACCCAAAAAAAGCCAAAATATATTTGGGTTTTTTTAAAAATGACCTATTTTACAACTGATATCTCTGATTTTAACACTTATAAATGCTTTATTATCAGCAAGTGCAACCTTTATACTGTAATTACTCTTGTAAACACTGTATTTATATACATAACGGTCTTTAGAATATACCCAAAATCGATCAATCTGTTTTTGTAGCAAGTTGGTTATTTATTATTTTTTTAAAACATTTAGCAAGTTATTATAAATGATATTGAAATATGTATTAAAACATTAAATTAGTTAAATACTTATAAAGGAAATAAAAATCATTCTATTAACTAAATTTCAAGACATTACTAGTTATTTAGTATCTTTATTCTCCTTCCGAATGTCTATATTACTTTATATTGGTATTTGATCTTTTATTTTTTAAAGCTTATGTTGTTAACTGGCAAAAAAAATTACTAAGCCACAAACAAAATACTATAATTAAAAATTATTATACTTTATTTACAGTTTAGAAATGGAAAGTTGTCAGGCAAAAAAAAAATGCTACAGTTTACTAGATTTGTCCTTAAGTGCATACAACTTTAAAGCTTAAAAAAAAATTAAGTTATGTGCAAGCAAGCTTGTAACATGTTTGCTCAATCAATGAGAAAACATGTTGAAAACTTGTATGCATTTCACAAGGACAAGATTTGTTGGTAAAAATGACACTCGTGCTCATCTGTCTTTTGACAGGTTTTGAATATTTTGCATCAGCTACAAGTTTACAACATGTACCACCAACAGGGGTGACTATGAACAGCGGGTTGAAAATTAACATCAGTATCAAGTTGCTAAAAGGTGAAGAAACACACACACAATAGAGCTATATAATGTGTTACTTTGATTCAGTTTGCAATTTGCATTGCAAAACTGAGCCGGTAAAACATCTTTTAGGGAAAAAAAAAAACTTAGTGGCGAAGACACTGTAATGGTTCTTAACAAATTTACTTTATATATATTTAGAAACAAAGTTTAGGCAAAAATCCATTTTTTGCCTGTCCAGTTGATCAGGCCGATAACTTTTCTAGGAAGCTGGACAGTATAATGTTCTGATAAAAAAAAAATGTAGTGATTAGGCTAGCAGATTTCTCTTATGATACAAAAATGTTTAAAAAGTGTTCATAGTCATCCTGATTGATAATAACTTATAAGGTTGCAACATCATGTTGCAAACTTGTTGATTACATGTTGTAAACTTGTGCAAAGTAGTTTTTGAAATGATATGTTGAACATGTTAGTAAAAAAAACTAGTTTGCAACATTTATATTGTCTTACTAACTTTGAATAACTCAATTGTCATGATTTTTACACTGATTTTTTTTAGTCAAAAATATTCTGAACATGTTTTTAATTTAGAGCAATTAATTAACATCATTTATAGTTGATGGAGTCCCTTTTTGCACTATAGGTAAAATGTGCTAGTAGACTAGTAGCAAAACATTTGGCTCGCAACCAGAAGGTTGGGGTTCAAATTACCTCTGCTGAAATTACTGTCTCAATCTATTTCTCCACACAGCGCCTTTGTTTAAAAATTTTAGTTGTTAATGTTGTTTGTTAGTAAAAATGGTAATGTTAAGGATTGAGACAAAATATTTTTAAAAAATGAGTTGCTCCCTTGACTGAAATGGTCATTGGAGCAATAGGGAGGTGAATTTATGAAATTAAAAAAAAAATTATTGTACTCATACAATTATAAAAATTTGGTATTTTGATCGATTTTTAAAAAAACCCAAAAAACTCATAAAACCCAATAAAACCCAAAAAAACCCATTTGGGTTGGGTTTTTTTAAAAAACCCTGGGTTTTTTCCAACCCTGATGTGGGCACATTGCTCAGAACAAAGAGATATTTTACAGTTACACTCCACCAAATCAAATAGTTTGTCAATAATTAAATTAAACTTTTGTTTTTTAAATTTACTTGCTCTATTTTGAGAAATCAGGTTAGCTTTGTTCCATGCAACTTTAAGTCTTGTTACCAAGTTATGTTTTAAACTAATTACGGGAGGCACAAATAAAACGCTGGCCGTTTGCCATTTTTCTGAAAGTTTATTATAAATATCCTGGATCAAATCAGAATTACTATAGTTTCTTCTGTTTAGTTTGCTTGTTTCTCTTAAAAAAATACCATATCTTAGGACATCTCTCAGTGTTGGCAGTTCAGCTGTTGGCAACTCTTTTCCAGATCCCAAATATTGGCGTAGACAAGAATCATTTTTCCATCTTGTTCCAGCAGCCATTTTAAATTTAATTATAGATTGTATCTAGTAATTTTGAAAATTATATATATATATATATATATATATATATATATATATGTGTGTGTGTGTGTATGTATAACTTGCATAACAAATATTAAAACAAAAAACTTTAGAGAATGATGTTTTCTGTGTAGCCATTTAGAACCATCAATTAAAATGTATAACTTAAATTACATACAAAACTACATCTCTAGCCCCTATTTTTATTTTTGATTATGAGAACTTTATGCTGATTAAGAATCGTATAAAAACATAGCTCAGAAAACTCAAGCAAAGTACTCTAATTAGATCTTGAAGTTTAAAATATTACACAAAAAACGCTAATATTCGCTATCTTTTTTAAATGCAACTAAACGCTTTTTTATAAATCTTATTTTTAATCACGCAACCCGGTTTTTATTTTCATCGATACTAAAATTTACATAGTTTAAAAAAAGTACAATTATTAATTATAATTAAAAAATAAACTTTTTTTTTTTTACATAAATTATTCTTTATATTTAAAAAATTAATTAAACTTTTAGAGGTAATGTTGCAGAATAGTGGCATAAAATTCTGTTTGTTAACTTTTGCCCTCTTGCCCTTAGTTACTGATTTAGGGATAGGCGAGGGCTTCTGTACATACATCGACTGATTTAGGGAGAACTCGCAAGAGAGTTGATAACACATCGAAGGGTCAGGGTTGGGGCAGGTATCAATTTATACCATTATTCTTCCTTGAAGCCCTTGCCTATCTCTAAATCAGTAGCTACTAAAAAACAGTTTCGTTTTTTGTTGACAATAAAAACCAGGTTGTTTATGTTATTTTCAAAGGTTTAATTTTAATCATAACAGAGTACAAAAATAATGGTGAATAATAGCGTTTTTAGTGTAATTTTTAAACTTCAACATCAAATTAAAGTACTTTGCTTCAATTTTCAGAGCTATGTTTTTATACGATTCTTAATCAGCATAAAATTTTCTATCATAATCAAAAATAAAAATAGGGGGAAGAGATGTAAATTAACGCCACAAAACTTTAAAAAAATAATAATTTTTAAGTATTCATAAAAATTTCTGAAACAGTGTAACTATTAAATGAATTTTACATATCCTGCTATCTTATCTTCCTTTCCTTATTCCTAATTTCTTAAGATAAGGTTGTTGTAAAACAGACATAAGTCTAAAATATTGAAAATGACCCCGAAAGTATAAAAATATCAAAAATTCACACTTTTTGGCAATTTTCAAGGCAGTTCCCTGGTAGCTTAAACTCATTTAAATTCAAATTTTTTGATATTTCTAAGTTTCATATGTTAAACCTCACTCTTTTTTAAAAAATGCCACTGGTAAATATGAATTTTTGAGTTTTGACCAAAGTATGACACACCCTAATGTACAGTTGTCCAGGAACTAAAAAAAGGGCCCCTAGCGTGTCACAACTGAATAAAAAAATTAAAATATAGATGAACTTTGAGCGTTTATTAAAATTTTTTATATTAGGAATTTTACCCACATTTGGGTCCTCATAATAGTATTTTATGAAAATAAAATGACTAATCAATTAATAAAGCATAGAAAACAATCAAAGAGTGAGTAGCCAATAAAACTTACTACACAAGGGTCCACGAAGGGCTAAAAGCAGCCTCAACAAAAATATATATTCTAATTGTAAAACTTTTACCAACATTGTCGTTACAACAGTAATAAAAATTGATTTAACACTCGGGTCAGGTCACCCTGTTTCTGAAATACATTTAATCCAATACAACTTGCTTTATATAAAGCAAGTACGACTCCTTAGTTGTAGTGAAATCAACTAACTGAGGAAAAAAAAAATCTGAACTAAAACCCCTAATTTATATGTCAATAAGGTTAGTAAAGCCTTGTAAACCTTGAAAAATAACCTTACAAGTGTTACTGAAAATGAGAATACTCAGTCATAAACTTCAAAACAGGTCAAATTTAAGAAGGAGATCATGTTGTAAAAACTCTTATGTATTGTTGCTTAATTAGAAAAAAGAAGATAAAAAAATTTAACCTAAATCGTATTATAAAATTAACTTAATCCAATTATTTTAGAAGTTATTAAAAAAAAAATAAGTTTAAACTTAAAAAAGTAAATACTCTCTTTAAAAACGTTTTCTTTGCCGTCAGTACATGTTACCTGAGTTAAGTGTTTGATGCCTAGCCGGTAGGAAATACTGCACAGTGCTTTGCACCTAGGCAGCAAGCACTATACAGTATTTGTTACCTTCCGGTACGGCTTACTGAACAGTATAGGCTACCGTTAAGTTAATCCTGCCTACTACACCGGTTCTTATCAAAGACCGCTTTACATTGCCGTAAATATAAAAACATATTCATAAAACTTTTACATAAATTTATTACATTATAATGATTTTAAAATGTCATACATATTTACAAATATATTTTTACAAATATCTTTCTTATTCTATTTATTACCAGCTGAACTCTTACAAATAGATTTTTCGTAATTATTTTTAATTGATTGCAAACGAGTCTTCTTCGCGGTAGTTTATTTTCTTTCTTGCGATATAATAGTTAAGTAACAGTTAATTAAGTCAATGCAATAGCTTCGCGATCATAATTATGGTTAGTTTAATAAATTCCGAAACACGAGGCAAGA